CTGTGCGTTCACGGCTTTCCCCGGGAGGGGGAGACGGCAGCTCGAGCTGAGTCCACGCAGTGCTCCACAAAAGATTCTGGAAGAAGGGGAGGAGGTGTGAGCAGGCGCGCAGACGGGGGTGGACGGGGAGGCGGCAGCAGCAGCCCGGTCTTAAAGGTTTCCTGTCCCCGGGAAGCTGAGCACTGCGGCGGCGGCGGCGGCTGTGGCGGCGGCGGCGACCCTGCCCCGCGCCCCGCGCTGCAATCAGTGCGGCAATCCGGAACCGGGCGGGCTGACGCCTGCTGGGTTAGGCACCGAGCCCCTCTGGGTTTCCTGTTGCTACCTAGGAGGTTTTAGGCCGAGAAAACGACAGCGAGGCAATGGATGGTATATGAAATAACACAAGGAGGAGAGTTATCTCAGTCCTGAGTTATTCTAGCTGTTTGGCCCAGAGTATCTCGAGAGGCAGTTATTCATCAGATGACCCCTACTCCCCGGCACTTGGGCGTTTACAAGGAATCAGACGCTGGTCTACATAAATTCCTGAATCCATGAGTCCCATAAGCGGAAAAATTGTTCCTCCCCCACCTCCACCCCAGCCTACAAAGGATGTGAACAAACTTCTAAGGGCACCCCTGCAATCAGGAGTGGAGCCGAATTCGACCTCAGAGCTTTGGGACTCCAGGTGGTTTTTGTTTGTTTGTTTGTTTGTTTGTTTTTTTCACTGTATTCTCCTGAGGTCAGACTCCCGCGAATAGACAAACAAAATGCACGTGCAGAGGTTTGCTGAGCAACAGTGGAACACTGCAGACACAGGAAGGAAGGACTTTTCAACATGAGGGGAGTTTGTCATGGTAGAGAGGCCATATATTGTCCAATGAGGAAGAGGGGCTGGCCTTAGCAGGCTGCATCCCGGAACTGGTTGATGAACCCATAGGTTGCAAGTCAGCCAGAGCCCAAGCCCAGGTGCTGTCAGTGTCCTTGTGCCACTTCTCCTTACTCCTATGAGGCATGGGACTGACTTGCCTGCTTGCAAGCGATTTCACGTTCTGCAGGGCACCCAGGCCAGGGCTGGCACGCCAGAGGGCAGAGGACATCTGACCTGCTAAGGGCAGACCAACTGCAAGGCTCATGCAGCTCCACTTCTTTCCCGAGTTTCTGCTCCAGCTCTCAGAAATCTTTATTTTTCTGCTCTATGCTCAAAGCTTGCTTGTCCCTGTAAACTAAATACTTGTCTTGGGGAATGAAGTTGGAGTTCAAAGTGACGGAAATAATGCAATCTTTGAAGTGAGGGAGTCAGTTTTTTAAGAAGTAATGCAAAATATGATGGCCTAGGCAACAGGCTGGAACTTGTGACTTCATGAAATCGGCATTCAAGTATGGCATGATCTATGTCACTTGCACTGGCACGCAGAGTCGCCTTTAATTCCTGTGAGATTCTTGGCTGAGAGCAAAACATTCTAATCTGCTGGGGCGGACAAGCGCCACCTGCTGGTGCTCACAGAACCCCCTTCTTCAGTTTTCTCTTGGCTTCCCAGGCGTCAAAATTAATGTAATAAATGAAAATATACTTTTATCACATAAAAGCTCACGTACTTACTCTTACTTGCCCTCCTTGGTCTTCTCCCAAAAGTCAAGTGAGAAACAGAGAAAAAGAAATAAAAGCAAAAAAGGTTCCACTTGAAAATCTTTAACTGAATCCCAGTGACCATCTGTGTGGTCTCTATGCAGGATACCGTCCAGCATATCTTTTAGTAGACTACATACTTAGTTCAGACAAAGAACTGTTGTGAGGCATCATACATGGCAGGTTTATAGGGGGGTCACCAATTCTTTTTTAGAGTGAATAATGAGAACATGAGTTCACATTTGCTTTTTCTTGGGAGGCAGAGGTTTTTGCTATAGGGATCCTGCGCTTGTTAGAGAGACAGAGAGACAGAAAGCGAGAAATCACCCCTTCGGGAGATGGCCACACCACAATCCCTTCTCCTCCATTCTCCTGTCAGGATCTTGGGCACAGTTGCACACGCACCCGGCGTGAGTTTAAGCCTATGGCCCAGATCTCCAACCGCAGTCAACTACATGAGAGTCCAGCGACATAGCCACTCTGCCAACTGCTGGTCCCCACATTTTGCTTTTTAACAAGTGATCAGTCCTTTATGAGATTGACCTAATTATTATGGTTTGTTTTACCTTTAGAGATTACGCAAAGTGTAAATTCCTTGAGGTAGAGACTTATTTATATCCTTAAATATAAGGTAATGCTTGTATAAATGAGTACACAATGAATATTAGTAATTAATTAAACGTTGCACAGTAGGCCACATGTTTAACAGGTTGCCATTAATTGATGTATCTTTCTGTGAATGAGTTTTTCCTTAAAATGAAAAAGAATACTTGATCCTTGAAACCGCTATTATGTCTAAGAATTCAAGAAACTTGAAGGAAACAGAAGGAATGCGTCATGACTTTTCTGATGACTCACTATTTCAAGAATTGTAAATAATTGTGACACTATATCTTTTTTTATTTTTTTGCTGGTATATAAAAAAGATAAGCAATTTCCTCTTGTTAGCTAGCTTTTTCACTATTCAACAAGGACATCTCTCTTTTGTTTAGCACCTTGTCTATTTCTTCTGAAAACAGGACCCTCTTTCTGTTCTACCCTCCATACTTTATACAGATAGTCCTCTGGAAGTGGCCATAATATTACATTTGACCATTGTTTGTTGGTCCAGAGCGGACTCCAATCCAAAAGGGAGAATACCGTGTGGATACTGTGCTCATACCTTGATGCTAACTGCTCCTGATTTTCACCTTCAGTTTCTATGAATTATGCAGTATAATTATAATACTTTCTCACATCACATTTATTTGATTTTCAGTCAGTGAAATTCAAATTCATATATTGAGTTTACCATATTTTAGTCTTCATCCCCCCTTGTTTTCCTATATACCTGTGATTTCAGATTGTCTGATCATCTCTTACACACTATTTGGATTATGGCAGCAGGGTTTTCTCATGTTTTTCTCTTCAGTGTCTTCTAATCATTCCATGAAATAACATAATTGGATTTCTTGAGAAAAGAAGAAAAATTTATTGAGAAAGGAGGAAAATAGAATTTTTTATTTAAAATGTTGACTGTCAGAAGAAAGCTATCAATTTCATCACAAATTAAAACAAAAAATATTTAGAACCCATTTTTCAGAATTCTTCTTGAAGTCAGAAAAGATACCAGATCCTAAACCCTTACACATTTAAGACCTAACTTTTTCAGACTTTCCTGATAAAAGGAGCTGTAAGCTAGCTTGTTAAAACCAAACTTATTAAGAATGGTAGTAATCTTGGGGGATGGCTGTTCAGCCTATGTCATTTTCTCTGAAACTCACCAAGAACTCCCTTTTGGTGAGACCCCAACACATTTGCTGAAGAGTGGGAATGTTCAGCTATGTTTATTCTTCAGGATCCTTTCCAGCCAAAGCTAATTAGATAAGAAAAGGCTGACACAAGGTCTAGTTGTCCAAGGTAGTTGAACTCACTCATCTTTTTCTCTACGGAAAAAGATAAGTGAAACCACATGCATACCATAGTCAAAGAAGAAGAGGCATTTGACCTCGAAGACAGGCAATGTTAGGACTTATTTATATCTTTTTACCTTGATATCTAATAACCTCTCTGGTTTGGTTTCGTTTTTCCCATAAAAAAATAGGAAGAATATTTCCTGATTAACACCAACCTTTTCTGATTATTCCTCCTGTTCTCAGTACTAAAATATTATCTCTGTACTGTATTTTTAAGTATTTCTTAGTAAATATTTATCTGCAAGTGACCTGGTATGTCATATGTTAGCTTTTAAGTAAATTAAGGGCAGAGATTGGGCTCTTCGTTTCTTTTAATCGATTACCTAGAAGATTTAATCTGACTGAGATATTTGTATGTTGTAATGTAATTAGTAACATCAACATGAATTTCTCTGAAGATAATAAATACTATCTTTAACATGTCAGAGCTTTCTTTAGAGTTCCAAAATACTAATCTATAAACCACATGGTTAGTTACAACGTGACCCTGGCAAACTGAATAAAATTAGGATAATCTGAGTTTTTTATAAATCTGAATGTATGCATTTTATAAATCTGAATGGTGCATTTTTGCATAGAAAAACATAGAAGGAATGCATCATGACTTTTCTGATGACCCAATATTTCTAGAATTGTAAATAATATGAGACTCTGTCTTTTTTGGTTTTTGTTGGTAAAAAATGTTTTTTATAAATCTGAATGTATGCATTTTATAAATCTGAATGGTGCATTTTTGCATAGAAAAACATAGAAGGAATACATCATGACTTTTCTGATGACCCAATATTTCTAGAATTGTAAACAATAATGAGACTATGTCTTTTTTGTTTTTTTGTTGGTAAAAAATATTAACAAATTGTAATGTTTTTTAATATCCTTCATTAAAAAAATAAAAGTAGGTTGCTATAGTCAGTTACCAATTTTTTAGATATTGCTTACCTGTGAAACCAAAAAGCCTGATAACTACTTGGTCTTAATTCTCTTTTCTTTTTTCTTTTCTTTTCTTTTCTTTTCCTTTCTTTTCTTTTCTCTAGAGGTTTTTTGCCTTAGGGCACATGAGAGAGAGAGAGACAAAGATAGTGAAAGGGAAAGTGAGAAATCACACCCCCCCAGGGGGGGATGTACATGCCACACTTTCTCCTACTCTATTCTCCTGAGATCTTTGGCACGAACTCACACACACCTGGCATAATTTTCAAGCCACCAGGCCCAGGACTCAAACTGCAGTCAGTCCGTGAGAGAGTCCTTGTGTGTTATGCCATCTGCTGGCCCTGCTCTTAGTTTTAAAAGGGACTTATGATAAGAACTCCAGTCACTTGCATTCAAGCATTTACTCAAGCTGTGCTCATATCAACTGTAATTTAATTAATGCATGCATGTCTTTTATTTTTATTATTCCTAAGTCATTTATT